GCAGCACCAGCAGGCAGGCGCCTCGGCGCGGCCCGGCCCGGAGCCGCCACCGTCCGCGTGGGGAGGCGGAGGCGCTGGAGCGGAGCGCGGGCGGGAAGGTGGATTCTGGGAAATGTAGTCCCAGCCTGGCTGCGCGGCCTCTCCATGGTTACCAGGGATGCTCGCGGGAAAACGGAGGCGCAGACGCGGAAACGAGGCTCCCGTGAGCCCCCCTCGCCTGCAGGGTGCGCGAGGAGCGGTTTCCAACCAGAAACTGGGTCGGGCGCGTTACCAGCAACGATGTTTCGTTATGCATCCTCACAGCAACCCTGTAGCAGGATTGCGATGTTCATGACCGTTACGAAGGTGAAGCAGGCGAGGCACAAACTGTTAAGTAGCGCGCTTGGCCTGGGTGGCCCCTGGGCTGGGAAACAAAACTTAGATCTGTCCGTTCTAAAAGCTCCTGCTCTGCCCACTGCACCACCCCGCCCCCGCCCGGCCGCCGTCGTCTCTGCGTGGTGTAGAGCCCTGGGGTTGTTTGCTGCGCTCTCCTCCTTCCAGCTTCCTCCTTTACAAAAAAAAGGGAAGGGAAGGGGGAGGGGAGGGCAGGGGAGGGGAGGGGTGCCTCAGGGGGACACCCTTATCTGCCCATGTAACTGTTTTTATGAGTGACCGGCTCTGAGATGTGCCCTCAGAGGTGGTGTGAGGCCCAGCATCAGAAAATGGAGCCTTTCTTTTTTTCTTGGGACTGAATTATCCTCGCCCTCCTGGTCTCTGGGCTTTGCCCTGTGCTGTTGAATCCACTTCCCCTCCCGCTACCCATAATCTACCGTGAAGCCAAGAGCAAGTCAGACTCTGACATACTGTTTATTCGTCCTTTGGTTGATGAGTTTTCCAAGTCTCCACCAAAAAGTGTGTCCCTTTGCAATGACAAAATGCTTAATACGACCAAAAAAGGCCAAAGAGGCAGGTTAAAGAATTGTGTACATCATTTGCCTAAGATGAGGCATGAAGTGTTACTAACCGACATTTTTTAGCACTTACTATGAGCATGGTTCTGGTCCAAAAGTTTCATATGGATTATCTCATTAACCTAAATGACCACCCAGTGGAAGGGGTAAATATATTCTGATATTTTTAAAATGAAAAATCTGAGGTTTATGGAGGTTTCAAAAAACTTGCTCCAAGACAGAGATAGTGAATTAGTCAGGTCTGTTTGCTTGGTCTCAATCCCTTGGACTTAATTATGATGAAATGTCATTTAAACTCCTTAGCAAGTTCTATTATTTAGCAAATATGCATTGAATGCCTTCGGGTGTTAAAGTCATAATAGCAGATTAAAACACCACGGCACAGGGTAGAACGAGGAATACAGTCACAATCATGTTTCTGTGCCCTCTAATAGCAGTCTGCAATGCCAGTTTCCAAAAGATATAGTAACATTTGATGAATGAAAGCATTTCTGAAGGCTATCTCCAAAATGGCTGGGAACGCAGTAATTTTCCCCTCCAAATGCATTATATGACTTTTAATTTTGTTTGAGTAGACAGCCGTTAAGTAAATCTTACAACTGCAAGTTTAATTGAATGAATGTTTTAAATTCAAGCTCTTGCCTGCACAATTTACGTACACAAAACAAACTAGGAAAGGAGATCTTCTCCCTTTTCATACAGTGCACTGTGAAGATGGGGACCTATAGAATGGAAGAATCCCACTGACAGCAGCACAGTGCTCATGGAGCTGTCTGCTGCTAGTGCAGCAGATCCCCCGTCCGGCTGTTTTAGGTTGTGCTCTTGCTATTGGGCTATCCTTTGCACCCACTCTCCCCTTCCTAATTTTCCCCCTTTTCATCTTAGATCTTCAGTGTTTCCAGAGAGGAAGGGCCGTGAAACTCGACTAGACTGGGGAATTACATTGTGTAAAGAGAGCCGAGCGCAAGAAGGCTGGAGACGTGGTCACAGTGATCATCTCTAAGGTCTGTTACCTACTTGTTTCCCTCCCTGCGCTCCAGATCATTGCCTGCGATGGCCAGTGGATGTCCACTCAGTCTAGGGTCGTACTAGAGTGACTCTCTAACCTAGAGCTTCATTAAGACAATAGCGTCATAGAAATGGCTCCTTCACAACGTACGATGAGGACTATGTCTGGTTTCACGTGGGGTTTACCTTAAGCTGCCTTTGTGGATATTGCATTATATATGACAGGCAGGTTCTGAAATAAGCTTCAAGTTCTCCTTTACTGTGTGAATTAATTTAGTTTGGTATGGCTCAGAGCATAATCTTTTGTAATAGTTTGGGTTTTTCTTTCTTTCTTTGTACAGGGTCTACTCATTTTTTCTTGCTTTTTTTTGGTTGGTTTGTTGTATTTTGTTTTTTACGTTATTACCCGAAATCTCTTCTTATTTTGTAAGCATGTTTAAAGTTTACTTTATTGACTGAGTCGCTTAAAGGGAAAGTACTTCCTTCAGTTTTTCTGAAGATGATCGTCTCCCAATTATCTCTTGCTCAGGAGATCTGGCCTGAGTGCTGGGCTCTGTGCTTCTGTTTGTCTAATGTTTCCCCTTTTTCATCTTGGCAGCATGTGTCACGTCTGTGCCCCTGTCACGTCTGTGTCTGTGTCAAGTCTGTACTTCCACGTATTGAATGGCTACCACATACTACGCCTCACTTTCGCAGTAGTCTTGCACATCGGTGTCATTATCTCCGTTTCACAAATAAAAAAACTAAGACTTCAAGAAATTCAGCGCCCTTTCTAAGGTCACACATTGGGATTTACATCTATGTCTGTCAGACTTTAAAGCTCAGAGTGACTGAAGAGATGTTTTATCCATTTCTTATTGCAGCAAGAAAAGGAACTATTAGAATGGAAGGAAATACTAATGCTCATGGGGAATGGGCTCTGTGTCAGACCAACCTGGGCTCAAACCCTGGCTCCACCTTCATTATCTAATTAACTATGAATATGTTACTTGAACTGTCTGAGACACAGTTTCCTCGTCTTTAGAATGGACCTAATTATATTAACTAACTTTCTGGGATATTGGGAGGGCTAAACGTGGTGTCACCTGTGAAACCACTGTTTAGGTCAGCAGCTGGTGTGGGAGTTCAATCCAGCCTAATCCTGTTGTTGTTGCTATGACTGTTTCCTAATTGAAGGTAGTTAACTGAACAGAAACATTCATATCCTGGCATTTACTCTGAAACACCAGTGAAAGGCCTTCCTGACTTCAGAAGTTCAGAGGTTGCAGTGCTTGGCCCCATCACACCCGCTGTCACATGGGGCCATGCCTATGTTGGAAAGAAAGGAATTTTATTTTCAAGTTAGTGCTTTCCAAGCTCTGGTAACATTACCACTTTCTCCCTGTCCTGACTCTGTTCTTAAATATGAGGTGGAATATTTACCAATTACCACACAATGCACGAAGCAGCCTTGTTCTATAAAACGCTATTCCTGGAAAACAACCTTGGCTTGGCTTTTTGATTCGAAATGTGAGGATTAGAGTCCAAAACTGACTCCCTGGAAAGGCTGACCAGACAGCAGTTAACAAATCCCCTCCAGCAGGAAGAATTCCCGGACAAGCTGGGCAGGATCAGGGCTCTCACTTCCCATAAATCTCCCACCAGCCATTGCCCTTCTTTCTGGGAATCACCCCATTGCTTTCCGATTTCCCTCCCTGCCTTCCNCAGGATCAGGGCTCTCACTTCCCATAAATCTCCCACCAGCCATTGCCCTTCTTTCTGGGAATCACCCCATTGCTTTCCGATTTCCCTCCGTGCCTTCCTCCCTCCGTGCCTCCCTCCCTCCCTCCCATCCTGTTTCCTTCCTTTCTTTCCTTCTATTAGGGAATGAAAGCAGACAGAAAAAAATCAAATACAAAACTAACCCTTTGGGATGCCCTGTGTCTTTAATACGGTGCTGCTGTGTGTATATAGACTTGGAGTGTTGAGACTTCAAGGGCAGGGACTGTGTCTGGTGTTCTGGATGATACCCTGAAACACTGAGGATGTCACACTCTGCAGGGCCATAGCATCACTGAGGAAGGTCATGTCCTCAAAACAGACAGACACACGTTTGTGGTTAATCTTACTCAGTGCTCTATGCCATTGGCCATAATACCTCAGGTATATTTGGAGGAAAATTATATTGAAATAATAATAGAAATAATTTAAAAGCTGAGACTTCAGTTTTGGTTGTAAGGATGGTCTCCACAAAGGGAAAGGGTGGAGACCTGGGTGTCTTGACCCGTACTCGGTCCTCTGCTTTACTGCACAGTGTCTGGTAAACTCACCAGTAAATTTAAGTGGTCTTAACCTCTTAAAATATTGAGGTCAATCCTACGCTGTCCTCTTCTGAATTGAGTATTTCCTGGTGTTTGTCTACTCTGGAACATTCCTCACCTTGCAAATGAGTCAGCCTTTCCCAGTTCTCTATTTAGCTCATTAACTGAGCTGTCCCTCTGCCAGTGGTTTCCAAACACAGGTCTGTGACAAAAGTTCACTGGTATGAGGTAAAAGGCAAAAAATAAGGGTAATGTAGGGACTTTTACTTAGAGCTAAATTTATTTACTTGAAATGAAGGCCATTTACTCTGAGATTATGTAATTCCTATATTTTCATGACAAAGAGGTCTTTCTTTTATGAAAAGACCCACAAAGAGGAAAATTGGGGAACCATGGCCTTAGACTCCGGAGACGTGAGAGAGACTGATATATGCTACACATGGTGTGTGCATGTGTGTGTAGTTATGGCCAGGCACCCACCTCCAGGGACCATGGGACTGGATAGTCCCCGAAGGAGGCTTCTAACGGGGTCCTCGATTGGAGTATTAGCACCAGTCTGATGGTTGCTAAAGGAGAGGCATTCCTGGGACACAAGGGGCAGCTATTCCATTCTTACAAACAAACTTTCAATCATCACATTGTCCTCTTGGGCTGCATTTTCCTCCATTGAGCTGCATTTGGTGTCATTTTAAAACCTGATTTCACCTGAATAAAATAGTTCCCTTAGGGTGGCCTTGATGAGTAGCCAACAGCTCCAAACAGGAAATGAATGAAAAAAAGAAATGCTGTGATGATGTTTCTAATAACGATGCTATTTTAAATGACCATCGTGGCTCAAGTTTTCTAGAAAACAGAGTGCATGGCAAGGCTTGACTGATGATGCTTTATTGGGAAGTGCAGCCTCCGGACAGCAGAAAAGGGAGAGAAAAAGGAAGTACCTTCACAGTGCATTTAATAAGCTCAACAGAAATAAAGCAAGTTATTGGTCTAAAGAAAACCTGAGAAGCTGCTTTTAAATGCCATTTCTGGATGGCCTTAGTGTTTCCATGATCAATAAGTAAGTGACTGCACGTGCTCAGGAGGGCGAATGGCTGGCCCAGGTTTATGTAGTTGAGGCGTGGCAGAGCGGGGTTCACACTCAGGCTGAACTCCTGAGCTGATGGCTCCCACATTCCTGCAGACTGGCAGCACGGGGCTTTTAGAGAAGTATCTGCCCAGGATTACTATTCTGGCGTTGGAGGAAGCAGAGATAGTTGCATGGGAGAGCCTAGTACTCTGTCTAAAAGCAAATGAGCAAATCAATCCAAACAATGTATAAAAAGAATTGCACACCCGACCAAGTAGGATTTATTCCACAAATGCAAGGCTGGCTCAGCGTTCAAAATTCTTTCGTGTAATGCATTGTATCAATAGGCTAAAGAAAAAAAATCAAGTGATCACAATAGGCGCAGAGAAAGCATTTGAAAAAAAATCTCACATTCATGATTTAAAAATCTCTCAGCAAAAAATAGAGAACTTCCTCAACTAGATAAAGAACATAAAAAACTTGATAAAAACCTACAGCAAACATTAGATTTAATGGTGAAAACCTAGATGTCCCACTAAGATTAGGAATGAAGCAAGGATGTCCCCACCCACCACTCCCTTTTTAGCACTGTACTGGAAACCCTAGATGATGCACTAAGACAAAAACGGAAATAAAATGTATAAAGATTGGGAAAGGAGAAATAAAACTCATTGCATGCAGCTGACACGATGGTCCATGTAGAAAATCCAAAACGGACTAACAAAAAAACCTTCTGGAACTAATGAGCAATTATAGCAAGATTTTAGGACACAAAGTTAACATGCAAAAGTCAATTGCTTTGACCTGAACCAGCAATGAACATGTGGCATTTGAAATTAAAAACAAAATACCATTTACTTTAGTGGCCCATCCTTCAAATAAAATACAAAAAATTAACTAAAATGCAAAACTATAAAATTCCTAGAAGATAACATTAATACAAGAAAATTTGGATGATCTTGAATTTGACCATGACTTTTTAGGTGAGACACCAAAGACATGATTCATCAGAGATCTAGTTGATAAGTTCAATTTTTCTGTTGATCTAAAACTGTCCTAAAAATTAAAGTCTGCTTTTTAAAAAACCGTAATAGTGTGTTGGTGGGAATGAGATTTTTTAAAAAGAGTAGTGGACGTCCAGAAAGAGCACTGGACAGGGAGCGTGGAGAATTGCTTCTAGACCCTGCTCTGCAACTAATCAGCAGGACCTTGGGAAAGGAGCAACCTCCCTGGGCTTCACTTGCTTATCTGAAAAAGGAAGGAGATGGAATAGTAACGTCTCAAGCCCCTTTACCCCTCCTGCTGGCTCAGTTTTGGAACAAAGCAATCAGAGTCACTCTTCAGGAGCTCACACAGGTGGTGAAATGCCTGAGGAGCTGAACAGGTTCTCTTGCCCCCAAGTATCACCTTCTCTACCTGACGTTATTAGAGATTCCCTTTTGTGTGTATTATAAAGTCCATCTCCTGGAGCATACTAAAACAAGGGACTGATCCTAGCCCCAACCCTGCTCCCTAATATGGTTATCCTTAGGAACTGTCTTAAGGCATAAGGATGATTAGCGTGTATTTTGTCAGGGTACAGAAGTCAGAGGAAAAGCTGGTATACATCAGGTGTTCAATATATGTGTTG